GCAAAACTCACGCTGCAGGAGTCTAATCCTGATCTCTGCCCCCAGCCTGTGCTCTCAACTGATTCAGGTACCGCCTGGATCAATGCGGGATTTGCTGTTGCTGTGACTCCTAGGACTTCTCGGAGTGGGTCTCAGATCAGATAAACGGAGGAATGGGGGAATGGGAGGGATGGGAGGTGGATGGGAAACTGCCTTTGATCTCTTCCTCTCCTTCCCATCGGAGGGTTCCCACCCTCAATTCGCCCTTTTGGATCAGACACGAAACCGAGTATCAGCTCCAGTGAGGCCTTTAAGGCTTCCTCGGAAACATAAATCACGAAACCCCTTTCACAGACGGAAATCTGGAGATTCCCTAAGAGGTGATTGGGGCAACTGCTAAAATGCTCCCATAAGATGAGGGAGAGTGGGAAGCTACAACTTTGTACTTTTCCCCCAGGGTTTTCTAGGGAGGGATCCAGAGTAGCTGTCTTTATTCTTCGTCTTTATGTCCTGGGCTCCCATTCATTAAAGCTCTCACTATGTGCCAGGCACTGTACTGAGCATTTCATGTATTTGACTTCATTTAGTCCTCACAACAACCCCGTGAAGATGGGTCCCATTATTCTCAGGGAAAGGGCTTGCCCAAAGTCACACAGTAATCACAGCAAAGACCTTTTGTCTTACCCCCTAAACCTGTGTCCTTGACTCCTTGCTCTCACTTCCTCCGGGACACCTGGGACTTAGAAGGATGTTCAAAGAAGGCATATGCAGTTGGCCTCCTGAAGTGCCTTTGGCATCCAAAGGGTCCCGCTCAGAGCTTGAATGCTGCCATGGCGGATGGTGCCAAAGGAAAAGGGTTCAGCTTCAGCATTTTGTTTAGCAGCCGTTGCTCATTAGGGGCTCCTGCTCCTCTAATCCAGTCCACCAATTCCCTATAAAACCTTTATGGGGACAATCTGGATAAAATTAAACCCTCCATCTGCCTGGCCAGGGGCCTGGGGAGCTGCTGCATCCTCCAGGTTGCTGGGGCAGGCATAGCCCTCCCTGGACCTCAGAGACAGAACATCACACATCTTGCTTCTCCCGCATCCTCACTGCCTTGTGGACCTCTTTTCCTCTTCCCTGCCTGCTGCGAGGATTTGCTCATCCCCAAATTAATTGAAATTACAAGGGCACTACTGTTTGACCCAGCAATTTCTCCGCCAGGAACTTACCCCACAGAGATTCTTGCACTTGTGCCTGATGACAAGTGGACAAGGATGTGTCTTGCAGCATTGTTTGTGACAGCAAAATTCTACCTCAGTGTCTGCCAGAAAGGATCCAGTGTTTGTGTGTATTTATTGGACAACCATGTGCCAGAGAATTTACTAAATGCTTTACACAGATTGCCGTTTAATCCTCACAATTATATAAAGTAGGTACTTAGTTTTATTAACCCCATTTTACAGATGAGGAAACTGAGGCTCAGAAAGACTAAGTAACTTGCCCAAGCTTCACAAAGCTGATAAGCAGCAGGGCCAGGATTTGGACCAGGCAGTCCTTGTCCTTAACCACCATCCTACTCAGTTTCTCTGTCTTTATGTGCACAGAAAATTTCCAGAAGATGACACAAAAGCTTTGACAGTGGTTACCTCTGGGGAGAGGAATTAAATGTGTGAAGTAGGAGGGGGACCTCACTTTTTACTGCATCCCCTTTTGTACCACATTATTTTTTTTTCTTTTTTATTGATTTATAATCATTTTACAATGTTGTGTCAAGTTCCAGTGTAGAGCACAATTTTTCAGTTATACATGAACATATATATAATCATTGTCACATTTTTTTCTCTGTGAGCTACCATAAGATCTTGTATATATATCCCTGTGCTATACAGTATAATCTTGTTTATCTATTCTACAATTTTGAAATCCCAGTCTGTCCCTTCCTACCCCCTGCCCCCTTGGCAACCACAAGTGTGTATTCTATGTCTGTGAGTCTATTTCTCTTCTGTATTTATGCTTTGTTTCTTTGTTTCCTTTTTTTTTTAGATTCCACATATGAGTGATCTCATATAGTATTTTTCTTTCTCTTTCTGACTTACTTCACTTAGAATGACATTGTCCAGGAGCTTCCATGTTGCTGCAAATGGTGTTATGTTGTCGGTTTTTATGGCTGAGTAGTATTCCATTGTATAAATATACCACATCTTCTTTAGCCAGTCATCTGTTGATGGACATTTAGGCTGTTTCCATGTCTTGGCTATTGTAAATAGTGCTGCTATGAACATTGGGGTGGAAGTGTCGTTTTGAAGTAGGGTTCCTTCTGGATATGTGCCCAGGAGCGGGATTCCTGTGTCATATGTGTACCACATTATTTTACCATGTGCAGATGTTAGTTTCATAATTTAGAGGAGTTATTGAGCCCCAGTCCCCAAAATATGTTATTACTCATCTGTACCTCAGCCCTGGAAGTACACACTACCATGATCCCCACGTTGCAGGTAAGGAAGCTAAGCTCACTGAGGTGGTCTTGCTGGGCCACCTGATTAGGGAAGGGCCGGCAAGGGGGAGACTGACTCTCAAGCCAGTGCTTCTCTCCTAATTTATCTTAGCCTCCTGGGCTTGGAAGTTTCAGAGGGGAGAAAAGTAATTAAAAGCATGGACTCTAGAGCCAGCTCACCTGGGTTCAAGTCCTGATTCATTCACATGCCAGCTGTGTGACCTTGGCCAAGTCACTTCTCCTCTCTGAACCTCAGTTTCCTCTCTGTGAGAATTAAATGACTTACCTCCACGTCAAGTGCTTAGAACAGGGCCTGTCTCATCATGAATGCTCAAGAAATGTTGGGTATTTTTTATATGTTGTCCTGAACGCTGTCTCCCCCAATTTCAAGCTCAGAGCCGTTCCGTCTCCCAGCTGGTGGGTTCCGCTGTGGCTGCAGGGGAAAGTCCCAGCCCACCCTGTGCTCCAGCCTCCAGCAAGTCCTTTGGAACCTATTCTCCTGGGTGATCCCACTGTGGTGGCTGTGATCGGGATTGATCACATCGCCAGAGCTGGAAAAACGGGCAGAGCCGCAGGGCTGGTGTGGCCCAGATCCAGGGCGAGGCTGCGACGGGCGGCCTCCCAGTTCGGGATGTTCCCAGCGCCTTCCCACCCTCATGCTTGGAGGGAGAAGGGTCTCAAAATAGCTGTTGCTTCCCCAGCACGGCGCTAGGCCAGGGACAGGAATAGACATCTGGGGGTGGCCGCCTCAGCTTCCCTCAGGAGCCCTGGGGGCCAGGAATAGGCAGAGGCCAGACTCCCCCTAATGTGCTGGGGGGAGATGGTGCAGCTGTCAATATGCAGTGACCCACCTGTGACAGTCTGGCCCATGCAAGGTGTTGCCCCAGCTGGGATGCGTGGTCAGCAGGTCACCGGCACTGGCCAGATACCGTCCAGGGCCTGGATTCTTAGGGCAATAGGGAGTGCTCTTCAACACTGGCCCCTACCATCCTCTCTTGGCCAGTGAGGAAACTGAGGCCCAGAGAGGGGTTTACAGGCTTAATTAAGATCACAATGCTGGTTAGAAGCCAAGCTAAAAAGAGAGGCAGGCCTTGGGACTTTGAGAGGCTTAACAGGGTGGTGGTTAGAGGATTAAAGGACTCAGACTATACACGTTCAAATCCAGCCTCCATTACTTATGACCTGCATACTCCCGGGCCTCAATTCCATACCTGTAAAATGGGCACAATAATAGCACCTACTTCCTTTAGAGTTTATGAAGATTGAATGAATCTTGAAACGTGTGGCTATTATGATTGTTACTATTTTCTTACCAGATTTCTCACTCATTCATTCATAAGGCATTGGCTGGACACCTGCCGTCTGCCGGGCACTGTGCTGGGCCTGGGTCAGTGTATCTCAGTGTGGCAAGAAGAGATCGGTTGACATTTCAGGGAAGTTGCCATGTGCCAGCTACTCTGCAAAGCATTTTTACCTACATTGTCTCATTTATTCCTCATGACAGCCAATGAGATGCCATTCTCCTGCCCTATTTGACAGCTGAAGGAGTGAGGCTCAGAGAGGTGAAGTCACTCCTCCAGGGTCACACAGCCAGGAGGTAGCAGAGCCAGGATTTGAAACCTTGGCTGCCTGCCTGCATAGCTCATGCAAACCTCTGCATGACACTCTACTGGGGAGACAGACAAGTCGTTCAGTAGGTGCAGTCCAGGGGTTGCGGAGGAGGTGCTGGGTGCATGGAGGAGGGCTGCACTCTGCCACCTTAACCCTTATCACCTCTGCCCCCCAGCAGCCCCTCCCTGACTTCTTTCCTCTCCAGGCCCCTCCAAGTAGCCAGAGTCTTTTCAGTCTGCAGCTGCGCCTCCCTCACACACCACCCCCACGTCAGAAGGGAGGTGGTCCCTAGCCGGTACTACCAAATTCCCGCCTCTCCCGCTCTGGGTTTCTCTGGACGCCTACTATGTGCCAGGCCTGTGTGAAGCTCTGAGAACACAAAGAGTTCATCTTTGCCTTGACATTGCTCAGGGTGTAGCGAGAGAGACAGGTACCCAAATGGCAAGAGCAGCACGGAGGGGAGGGTAGAGCTCAGTGGTAGAGCACATGCTTAGCGTGCACGAGGTCCTCGGTTCAATCCCTAGTGCCTCTGTTAACAAATAAATAAATAAAAATAAACCTAATTGCCTCCCCCAACCAAGAAAATCACAATAATTTTTTTTTAAAGAGCAATACAGGGAGGCAGCTGCTATGATGGTTAAAACAGGGGCAAGGATGTGCCAGGAGGAGGTACCTAACTCAGCCTGGAGGTCAGGGAAGGCTTCCTGGAGGTGGTGGTGTGTGAACTGAGGCCCAAAGGAGAAAAAGAGTTAGTTAGCCAGGAGAAGAAAGAGGTGTAAGAAAGAGTGTTCTAGATAGAAGAACAGCTTGTGCTAAGGAGGGGAGGTGCCGAATTCCGGGAGCTGGGAGGAGTAGGGGCTGGAGGTGTGGGTGAGAGGCACTGGTGCTGCGGAGATGGGTGGGGACAGGTCTCTCATGCCTTGCCGCCTTAGGTACTCTCTGGAGGGCAGAGAGAATGACATCAGGGGCTAGAAGTTTCCCTCTGGTTTCAGGGGAGGGTGGACCTCAGGAGGTTGGACTGAAGACAGGGAGCCCGAGGAGGAGGCTGTTGCCTGGGGGGAGAAGAGGGACTTGGGCTAGGGTGCTGGAGGTGGGTGTGCAGAGAAATGGGCTGCTTTGTAAAGTTTTTAGAGGTAGAACTGGTTGTTGCTGTGTAATAAATCACTCCACACTTTGTGGCTTAAAACAACTTGTTATTCTTCATGATTCTGTCAGGTGACGGACAGTTCTGCCTTGTGTGGTTGGGGGCACTGGGATGGCTGGAAGGGTCTCAAACGGCCTCACCTACATGGCTGGTGGTCGATGCCGGCTGATGACTGTGGGGGTCAGCCTGGGCTATTGGCTGGGGGGGGGGGCCTCAGTTCACTTCCATGTGGCCGACTCCATGGGGCTTGGGCTCTTGACAGCACAGCAGCTGGCTTCCAAGAAGCAGAACCTGCCATGCTTCTTAAAACCTGACTCAGAGGTCCCAGAGCACCACTTCTGCTGCATCATGATGGTCAAAGCCGGTCCCAAGACCAGCCTCATTCGAGGGGAGGGGAAATAAGCACTATCTATTATTATTATTTGTATAAGTTAATAGCATTT